AAGAATTGAGGCAGTTCTGAAGGCAAAAGGGGTCCAACCCGTTACTAGCATGGTGTACCTAATAAAGTGGCCGGTGAGTGTATAGGATGTTCTAATTGTTTTTTTTCCTAAATAGAAAAAAAAAAACTGTGACTTAAACATAATGGCCTACAGATTATTACATTTATGTTTTCTCTAGTATCAATTGATTTGATTTTACAAAGCTTTACGGTAGGAACCAATTAAATTAAGGAGCTGAGCACGCTACAGGCATTTGAAATGTAAAACAGGTCTTTAGTAAGTGTCTAGAGAAGTTGTGGGTGGGCAACTCCAGTCCTGGAACTTTTAGATATGTCCTTGACTGAACACACTTAAATAAAGTAAATAGATAATTAAAAGGACTCTGGCGAAATTGGTTGCATACCGGGGAGGTAATTTAAACATTTGATCCAGGTGTGTTGGACCAAGGATTAATCTAAATGTTGCAGGAAACCGGCCCTTGAGGACTGGAGTTGCCCACCCCTGGTCTAGAGGAAACATTTGATTTTGCAAAAGCATCAAATTATCTTCTAGCAAGCTTACCAGCAGTGTGCAGCAATAACATACAGCTGGAAAAACTCCAGTAAGTAAGAGGATTTTAAACTGAAGGAACAGAATTTTAATTTTAAAACCTTAATAACTGGCCCAGATTGACCATGACATGATTTTTTTTTTTTTTTTTTTTTATCTACATGAGTTTACACAAAGTTATATTTAATAAAGCAACAGGATTGAAAGTTGATCTTTGTGCTTCCAAATCAGATTTCTTGTGCTTTCTATCTGTTTTAAAACTTAAAACACAAATATGTAGGTATATACATGACATATTAATAAAGAGAAGCTTCAAATATGCCTATGTGTTTAGTAAGAAAGAAGGAAAGGGAGGAAGGACACAAAGAAGGAAAGAGAGGATGAAAGGGGGGAAGAAAATAGTTCATGAGCAGAGATGAGGAAGTATGGAAGGACATAAGAATGGAAGGAAAGAAGGTTGGAAATTGAGGGATGATGATTAATAGACAGTAGAGGAAGGATGCGATAATTAAACAAGAAAAAAACGAATGAAGCTTTCAGCAATGTAAATGTTTTCAATGCTCTTACTATCCCACTCTCATCCAAACCTGTAAAATCTTAACTTTTCCTGACTGGTTTCGATTCCTGACAATTTTCTAATTCTTGTTTGATTGACTGAAGCATTGAAGTTCTTACACCCGAGGTTCAGTGTTTTCTCATCAGTTTTATCACCTTTAGATAATGAACCAAAAACTGTATGTATGTGCTGCCGCCCCCTTCAGTTTTCAAATCTTCACATGATCTATAAACCCGGAACAACACGGGAACCTGTACAAATTCTTTCAACAACCTAGCCTGGCCAGCCAGACTGAAATACACAAAACATTTAGCAAACCGCCACTGACTACAACCAGACCAATCACAGCGCAAGAGATGGGACTTTATGATTAGTGACTCTCTGTGCCAGAATTACCCATAATGCAACAGTGCTTTTCTGCTAGCCTGCCAAAAAAACAGGTGACCGCAACAAAGCAAAGTTGCAATGAGAAATAAAAACGTACATAAAACAAAATGACAAAATATGAATGATTTCCTTTGCCAGTCTCTAGTATGACGCTATCTCAGATGTACTTTAACTCCAAGATTTTGAAACTCATACACACACGTACATATATATATATATATATATATATATATGTATATATATATATGTATATGTGTGTGTATATATATATATATATATATATGTATATGTGTGTATGTATGTGTGTGTGTGTGTGTGTGTGTGTGTGTGTGTGTGTGTGTGTGCGTGCGTGCTTAAGAAAATACTGAAGCAGCATAGTTATTAGAAAATTTTAAGAGTCAGAGCTTCACCTCACCTCTCCTCGGCTGCAGGGATATGCACCAGAGTACTTTGATGTGCAGCTGGCCCCGTCCCGGCCCCCACCTGTTTTTCCCTCCTCCATTCCAAAGGTGGTGCTACAGTTACTGGCGTAGTACTGCAACATCTTCCACGTTCGCCCAAAGTCCTGCGAGCGCTCCAGCGTCATGGCAGCAGGCCGTGGGGAGCGAAACACCAGGATGAGATGTGTAAAGTAAAACTCCGTCTCCAGGTCCAGTTGGACCGTCTCGGACTCCACGCCTTCTGCAGACTGCCACCAGGTGTTGGGATGACGGAAAGATGAGTCAGACATGGCCCCAGCCAGGTGGGACAGGTGTGGTAGGGCGGCGTTGCATTTGGAGCATTTAGGAGTGCCACATGCCAGGTTGGCGTTGGGGTCAGGGTAGGAGCAGTAGAGCTCTGTTCCATTGTTTCCGCACACGGATTGGGTCAGAACCCGCCGACTTAAGGCCAGGTTTCCCATGCGAGGGTTGCAGGCTCTGCTCTCGCAGCGTGGGGCGACACCTGCTCGAAATATTGCCACTGAAACACATGGGAAGACAAAACACAACATGGTTTATTTAATAGCTATATAAATCCCAAAAAGCTCAATATGAAATGATACAGCCTGATGCTCATTTTAATTGTAAGTCCATTAATAAATATGTATTACTCTGTTGTATTAGAATCACCAGAACTTACACTTTATTAGAAAATAATTTCTCGTTTTTTTGTGTTATAAAAAACCTGGACCTCATGTTGCAGAGCAGCAACAATAGCGCAAAGCAGTTAAGTAGAAGAATACGATGCGTGGTTTTCATACTTTCATAGAACTAGAAATAAACTGGACTCTATAAGTTTATCCTTTGTTACCTCTGTAAGTCTTTATTGTTTGGCTCCTAATGGCTTTGTATGTCAAAAAATCTAAAATATATCTTTACCATTTGCAAAATTAGGGTCAGACTAATTGAGTTTAAAAATTTGTTTACAAGTCAGATTTTAGGTCTGAAATTTAACTGTGTATCCAAGTTAATGCATTTTACGTCTTAATTGAAAAGCAGATCTGGTTTCATTTCTGTTCCAACCTGTGCAGGGTTTCTTCTTATCAAGCTTCCCATCAACTCTGTTCAGCACCGGAGGCTGTATCCATCCAGATCATGTGGTCGGGGGGATGTCATTATTCTCCCAGGATTGAAAAAATTGACCTAATTAATTTTTTTAACCTGCTACCCATGGGCGGTTCTAGACGGAGCCCAACGGGGGGCATTGCCCCTTTAGATCATGTCCTGGCCTCTGTTATGGCCCCTGTACTGAAGACATGATGCTCAAAGAAATTCTAATGACACGTGCTGGAACAGACATAGTTACTGATAGGTTCTTTTGTTCTATTTCATTTTTTTTTTACTTTACAAATTCAGTTTTTTCTAATTATTTAAAAGCAATAAGGTGATAGCTTCACTNTTAGAAAATTTTAAGAGTCAGAGCTTCACCTCACCTCTCCTCGGCTGCAGGGATATGCACCAGAGTACTTTGATGTGCAGCTGGCCCCGTCCCGGCCCCCACCTGTTTTTCCCTCCTCCATTCCAAAGGTGGTGCTACAGTTACTGGCGTAGTACTGCAACATCTTCCACGTTCGCCCAAAGTCCTGCGAGCGCTCCAGCGTCATGGCAGCAGGCCGTGGGGAGCGAAACACCAGGATGAGATGTGTAAAGTAAAACTCCGTCTCCAGGTCCAGTTGGACCGTCTCGGACTCCACGCCTTCTGCAGACTGCCACCAGGTGTTGGGATGACGGAAAGATGAGTCAGACATGGCCCCAGCCAGGTGGGACAGGTGTGGTAGGGCGGCGTTGCATTTGGAGCATTTAGGAGTGCCACATGCCAGGTTGGCGTTGGGGTCAGGGTAGGAGCAGTAGAGCTCTGTTCCATTGTTTCCGCACACGGATTGGGTCAGAACCCGCCGACTTAAGGCCAGGTTTCCCATGCGAGGGTTGCAGGCTCTGTTCTCGCAGCGGGGGGCCACACCTGCTCGAAATATTGCCACTGAAACACATGGGAAGACAAAACACAACAACAGCAACAATAGCGCAAAGCAGTTAAGTAGAAGAATACGATGGGTGGTTTTTCATACTATCATAGAACTAGAAATAAACTGGACTCTATAAGTTTATCCTTTGTTACCTCTGTAAGTCTTTATTGTTTGGCTCCTAATGGCTTTGTATGTCAAAAAATCTAAAATATATCTTTACCATTTGCAAAATTAGGGTCAGACTAATTGAGTTTAAAAATTTGTTTACAAGTCAGATTTTAGGTCTGAAATTTAACTGTGTATCCAAGTTAATGCATTTTACGTCTTAATTGAAAAGCAGATCTGGTTTCATTTCTGTTCCAACCTGTGCAGGGTTTCTTCTTATCAAGCTTCCCATCAACTCTGTTCAGCACCGGAGGCTGTATCCATCCAGATCATGTGGTCGGGGGGATGTCATTATTCTCCCAGGATTGAAAAAATTGACCTAATTAATTTTTTTAACCTGCTACCCATGGGCGGTTCTAGACGGAGCCCAACGGGGGGCATTGCCCCTTTAGATCATGTCCTGGCCTCTGTTATGGCCCCTGTACTGAAGACATGATGCTCAAAGAAATTCTAATGACACGTGCTGGAACAGACATAGTTACTGATAGGTTCTTTTGTTCTATTTCATTTTTTTTTTACTTTACAAATTCAGTTTTTTCTAATTATTTAAAAGCAATAAGGTGATAGCTTCACTGGTATTGAGATAGGATCCCAGTTTTCCTTTGCTAAATGTTTTTTTCAAAACAAATTGCTCAAATTTGTACAGCTGAATTTCGAGTTTTTCTTGAGTTCTAATTCAGATTTGATAGAAAACTGTAATTTTACCTTAAATTATGTCAAAAATATGTTAAATTTTTTTTTAATAAGGCATATAAATTTAATTAAACCTAATTGAATAAAAATTTCACTTCATGCAGCTATCTTAATATATTTGAATCCCTTGCCCTGTTTTTTATTTAATGCTTTTCTGTGCCCCCATGAAAACACGCTGGCCCCCTTTACTTGCCATCCCCACAGCATGATGCTGCCACCACCATGTTCTCCATTGTGTTTGTGCCACATTATTTTCTCATGTTGGCTCAACTTACAAAAAATAAAAGTGCATTGAATCACATTATTTCTAAAATCAACAGGCTGCATCACATTTTAGTTTTCCACAGTGCAAGGATCTAACTAAATGCACTGATTCTAACCCTCCTTTGTGTTGATCTAACAGATAAAATCCCATTTTCTGTCTCAGGAAGAGAGGGCTGATGTGACTCAGTGTGTCTATGTACACAAGTCAAGCGATTTACCTTGATCGGAAATGTTATGCAAAAAAGGATAATGGAAGCATTGTGCACCTGCCTGCCTCAGACAGCAGCCAGCGTGGATTCTGGCACAGATAAAGTTTGGCAGCTAAGGAAAAGGATGAGCAACATTCAGACCTCTGTGACCCTGTGGATTTATTATCCTGAACCTGCAGCTTTGGTTGGGAAAAAAAAATCTAATATTCTCTCCAAACAATATAAATAATTGGGCTTTTGTTTTAGAAATTCTTTTTACATATTTAGAAGAAGAGCAGTAGTTTAATTAATCAGTAATCTGCTGACTTCACTTGTCTCTGAGATAAATAGAGAATAAACAGGACTGACCTGCATCTGACAACGCGGCCAGGCTGATCACAAATAAAACCAGCATATCTCCACGACGCAGCGATAATCCAGAACCTGTGAGGAAGAACCCGGAGCCAGGAGACCTGATGGAGGTATCTGGAGTGAAAAGCATGAAAAAATAAATAAAGAGTCCCTCAGATCCGGTGTGGACTTTCTCTTTCACTCAGCAGCAGCCCAATGAGGCGATAATAACGCAACCCTCGGAGAAAACAACATGATCCCGGACGCTGCGGGATGTCCCGCTGAGAGAGTAAGAGAGCAGAGGTGCAGGAGGAGGAGGGATGAACGGATCTGCTTGACTGTTCTGCAGCTCTTGGACCTGCAGCGTGGTTCATCTCCCTGCAGTCTGGCTCCACCGCCTCAACATCTATTTCTAAGGAGCGCGGAGACGCGCAGGGGCCGTTTGGTGACAGAGCGGCGCTGCAGCTCCGCCTCCCTGCATGCTTTGTTTTTTATATATCCTGCCCAGGGGCGTAGCCAGAAAAAATTTATAAGGGTGGCCAGACAATAACTACGGAAGAGGATTAGGGCCACTGAAAAAAAAAGTTAACTGATTTTTTTAATTTTATTTCAGTTTGGTATGGGGAAAAAAGTCGGAATTCTGACTTTAATCTCAGAATTCTGACTTTAATCTCAGAATTCTGACTTTTTTTCTCAGAATTCTGACTTTAATCTCACAATTCAGACTTTTTTTCTCTCAGACTTCTGACTTTAATCTCAGAATTCTGGCTTTTTTCTCAGAAATCTGACTGAATTCTGAGATTAAAGTCAGAATTCTGAGATTAAAGTCAGAATTCTGACTTTTTCCCCTTACTAAACTGAAATAAAATTAAAAAATCAGTTAACTTTTTTTTTTTTTTCAGTGGCCCTAATCCTCTTCCGTAAATAACCAATGTACACTGAGGGGTGGCCAAAAGATGATAGGCACCAGAACCTCAGGGTCAATCTACACTGTTCCAACAGGAATGAGCACTACATCCATATTTCTAAATAAAGACTAACTATAGTTTCCTACAGCCTTTGCTAACAAATAGATGCATATATTTAAACATCCGTCATCATTAAAAGGTATATTGGATAAAATTCTTTCAGGTTTGAGTTCTGGAGCGAACATTTTTTCCATCGTCATTCAGAGGCGTAGCCAGAAAATCCTAACAGGGGTGGCCGAAAGGCACCAGAACCTCAGGGTCAATCTACACTGTTCCAACAGCAATGAGCACAACATCCGTATTTTCTAAATAAAGACAAACTATACTTTCCTGAAGCCTTTGATAACATCTATGCTGTGTAAATAAAGGTATAGAGGACAATATTCTTTCAGGTTTGAGTTCTGGGGCGAACATATTTTACATTGTCATTACCTACTTTTATCAATAATCGCTCTGTAAAAAAAAAAGATATTTAAATCTACTAATATCCACATTAAATGGATTTTTAAGTTATTAAAGTAGTTATTTATGATTTTACTGGAGATCTGCCACCCAAATAATTCAAAATTTTGTTCTCAAAATAGCATGAATTCTGTGTCTATCATCTTTAATGTTTGTATATTGATGTGCATAATTAACCATGGTGTTTCTGTTTGTCAAGTAGTTAATATATGAAAATTTTAAATGTTTAATAAGTTTGAACATTCCCCTTCAGAGTATTACTGCTGCCACAGTCTGTATTAGAGGGTAAAAAAATAGTAGGGGTGGCCAATGATTGGCTAAGGGTGGCCATGGCCACCCCTTGCCCCCCATCTAGCTCCGCCCCTGTCGTCATTACTTGCCTACTTTTATCAATATCATTTTGCATTAAATTGATATTTACATGTACTAATATCTAAATAAATTAATAAATTTAATTGTTTTTTATTAAAATAGATATTTACAGTATTTATGATTTCACTGAAGACTCTTAGTTGACTTGCAGAGACACATAAGTTTCTCTTTATGGCATATAACACAAAATCTAGTTCTGAAAGAGCATGAATTCAGGACTAATCATCTCTAATGTTGGTATATTGATGTGCATAATTAACCACAGTGTCTTTTGTTGTCAAGTAATTGTTAATATATATAAAATCAAAATGTTTTGAATATTCTACCTGAGAGAAAACAATGGTAGGGGTGGCCAATGATTGGCTAAGGGTGGCCATGGCCACCCCTGATCCCCCATCTAGCTCCGCCCCTGATTCTGCTTAAAGAAACACGTTTCTATTTGAACACTAAAATCTTGGCATTACAACCAATAAGTAATCTATATTATGCATTTTATGTGCATCTTCCATGACCAAAGGCGATTCTGTGGGCAGGGGTGCAGCCAGGAATTTGGGGGCCCATGAGAGACATTGATATTGGCCCCCATCCACCCATTCAAATAAAAAGCATGCAAGCTTTAAAGCTGCTATAAAGATGCACTAAAGAGTATAATTTACATTGTTAATTTAACTTTTATCATAAAATTTTTACAATAGAAAATTATTGAAAAAGTAAAATATTCCTATCAGGTTTCACTATAACTTTATTAAAGGACTGGTTATTTAATCCTGGACCTAAGAACTAAATTTTCATTCATGTTTAATGACAAAACATGTATTTGTGGCTTAGCTGCTTCAGGCTGCTCATTAGAATGATCAATGTCTTTCAATGGTATAAAATAGTATAATATATAATGTAATGTATTTATGGTATAATATGTTATTTTAATGGTATAAATCTAATCATATATTTATGCTTTGTTTCACTGTTTATGACTGAAAAACAAGGGAGAACATGAAGATTATTTATTTTACTGCTTTTTAAATTTGAAAAATCTAGCAGGACAACTAATTTTTTTTCTTTTGGGGCCCCCCCTCAGTCAAGGGCCCTTAGAATCTCCCTAACAACCCCCCCC